TCAGGTAGTGTAGATTCAAGTTTGTTCAAATCATGACCCCCGGGGGTAGGGTGGGGCCAAAATGGCTTATCAAAGTTTCACTTAGGACTAGATAGAGAAATCTTTAAAAATCTTCTCCTCAAGTACTTCAAAGCCATGATTAATGAAATTTATGTGGAAACATCCTCAGGTAGTGTAGATTCTAGTTTGTTCAAATCATGACCCCCGGGGGTAGGGTGGGGCCACAATGGCCGACCAAAATTTTACATAGAAATATATAGGAAAATTCTTTAAAAATCTTCTTCTCAAGAACCACTGGGCCAGGAAAGATGAAACCCATGTGAAATCATCCTCAGGTAGTGTAGATTCTAGTTTGTTCAAATCATAAACCCCAGGGATAGGTGGGGCCAAAATGGCTTACTAGTATCAAAGTTTCACATAGGGCTAGATAGGGAAATCTTTAAAAATTTTCTTCTCAAGTACATGTACTTCAAAGCCATGATTAATGATATTTATGTGGAACCATCCTTAGGTAGTGTAGATTCTAGTTTGTTCAAATTATAACCCCCTAGGGATATGATGGGGCCACAAAGGGGGGGGGGGGTTCCAAGTTTTACATTAAGATATATTTAAAAAATTCTTCTCAAGAATAGCAAAGCCATGATTAGTGATACTAGTATTTATATGGTAGCAATTTTGAGTAGTGTAGAATTAAATTTGTTCAAATCATAACCCCCAAGGGTAGGGTGGGGTCACACCGGTGGATCAAAATTTTACATAGAAAAATAAAGGGAAAAATCCCAAGAACAGAAAAGCTATGTTTAGTAATATTGACATGTGAGCATCCTCATGAATTGAAGATTTAAATTTATTCAAATCATGGCTCTTTGGGTTAAGGATGGAAACAATGGGGAATCAAATTCAAATTATTATGAAGTTATATATAGGAAGAAAATAATTTTTAAAAATCTTTTTATCAAGAACAGCAAAGTCATATGCTCTATTAAAATGAAGGCATTCTCAAGCAGTGTTAAAATTCAAGCCCCCCCCCCCCCTTCCCCCTTCAGTAAACTTTTCAGTTCTAATCTGATTTGTGCTTTTTCGTAGCCAATTTGCTCAGGTGAGCGATGTGGCCCCTGGGCCTCTTGTTGTGAAGGGGGTTGAAATAATTTTAATGTGACAATAATACACGTATAAGAAAAGAATAATTAGTATCATTTACATTGTGTTTAAGATTAATTATCGTACTGAGTGTATTTTTTATTTCTTTGAGATCAGTGAGCCAAAGGCTCTGTGAAATAACGTTTTTGAACGAAATAAGTTATTGTAAACTTTTCATATTCTTGTCAAGAAGCACCCGAGCAAATTAGAATCAAACTTGATTTAATATCGTTTGATGGAGGGGGATACACGCTTGATCTGAAAATAAAAGACCACCTGGAGGTCATCAAAAATCATGAATATGAGAAAAAATCTTTAGAAGGCTCATTCACTGAGCCAGAAAGATGAAAGTTCTATAAAAGCTGAAACCTTGCTAATCTAGACAAGTTTGTTCAAATCACACCTTCCTGGGGAAGAATTAAAATGTCAGTATATAACCTAGTATATTAGTGTAGTAAACTGTTTCTTTTAGCTAGGCTAGCAGAACCATGATCAAAGTTAGTGTTTACACGATATAAATACAGTAGAATCACAGGCACCTGACGTTACTTATTTTTCTTTTAATAAAAAAGGTATGGGTATATTTTTTTATTATTAAAAGAAAAATAAGTATAACGTCAGGTGCTTGTGTGTAGAATCACACATTAACGTGGCTTTAAATAATCGAGGTTTGAAGAAAATAATCTAGTTCGTGGGTTTTTGATTTCGTAACTTAAAAATTACTGAATATTTTGATTATTATTTTTTTATTTTTAATTTTGGGACGGACTTAATTCTCTTCAAACTACGAAAACAACGAAAAATAACATTTCCACGAAAATAAGTGATTTCGAAGTATTCAGGTCTCTTTTACTTCAGAGTACAATTGAGGTTTTTATATGTGCACTATCTCGTGTTTTTTTTTTTTAATGTTAAACCCAGAAAAAAGGAAAATCATAACACATGCTGTTATGGAATGCCATATACGACAGCCAACTGCTTACTGCCAACTGCTAACTGCTTACTGCCAACTGTCAGCTGCTTACTGCCAACTGCCACACATATTTGAATAAATTTTATTGTTATATTGATATTTATGTAAATTCGAGAAAAAAAAGGCGCGGATCTATAGGACATTTTTTCCAAAAGGGTCACTCTGGTAAAAAAAAAATCCAGCCCAGAAATTTCTTGACAAGAAAAAAATGCGTAAAGTCCTTTCCTAAATGTGAAAATTTATTTCGGCCGGGGAGAGGGGGCTCTTATGCGTCATACCTTAATGTGTATGACATTTATCATACCAACTTAACACGAATCCACATTTTCGGTTGGGGAAGGGGGGGGGGGGTTCTAAGGTCCCTTTTAGTTGATTTATTTTATACATTAAATGACTTTTAGTTGGTTTAGTTTGCGCATTAAATAACTGTACAAATTTCAGAGAGGTGTTCCGGACCCCTCTCTCTAGACATGCATGTAAAGCATATCTTATTGGTACAAATAGAGATATAAATGTTTGATCGGCGTTTTCTAAGTGGAGGGTCCAAGATCAGTTATACCGGTAGTTCGTTTAGTTTATTTAACGTATGACTGTACAAATTTTAAATGCCCCCCCGAGATCTATGCATGTGAAACATTACAGGGACGTAGCAACGGGGGGGGGGGGGGGGGGGGGGGGCATAGTCCCCCCCCCCCACCCACTTTTTTTCCCAACATTACCTTTACTATTGAAAATGTATATTGAAAGGATGGTTGCCCCCCCCCCCCCACTTCTTACCATAGTAAGTATAATGATATCAAGGATATGTAGTATTGGGTGGAAAAAAATGTAAGTGAAAGGTAGTTGGCCTTAAAAAAAAAGTTACCCCCCCCCCACCACCACCACCACGAAATAGGATTTTCGAGTTTGGGCTATTTCCTTTTTTTTTTGCTTGTCAACTTTTTCAGGTAAGTAAAAAAAAATTTCTCTGGTTGCCCCCCCCCCCCTTTCAAAAACGATGCTACGTGCTTGCATTATAACACACAGAGATATACATCTTTAATTTGAGGAAATGTTTAACTATAGAATATAATGGAAAACGGAAATTTATTTTCAAAACATCTTTCTCTGCGAAACGACAAATCTTTTTTTTATTATTATTCTCTCTTCAAAGGTTTTGTTGTCTCCGGGGGAGGGGATTCTTTAATGTGAGGAAAGTTTAACTATAGAATATAATGGAAAACGGAAATTTATTTTCAAAACATCTTTCTCTGCGAAACGACAAATCTTTTTTATTATTATTCTCTCTTCAAAGGTTTTGTTGTCTCCGGGTGGGGCTTCTTTAAAGATTAAAAGGAGAAAATAGTCATTTTATTACCTATTTCAAATAGGAAAACAAATTTAAAAAATAATAAACAATGTACTTTATCAACCGCATACATTTAATATTACATAAGATAAAACATATTGGTCATTTTATTCAATTCAATTTTACCAAGGTGACCCCCTTGAAAAAAATGTCCTGGATCCGTGCCTTTTTTCCCCTTTTTTGTGAAAATTCATATAAATATCAATAAAAATATAAAATTTATTCAAATATGTGTGGCAGTTGGCAGTAAGCAGCTGACAGTTGGCAGTAAGCAGTCAGCAGTTGGCAGTAAGCAGTTGGCTGTCGTATATGGCATTCCATATGCTGTAAATTAAAATAAAATAAAAAAATAAAAAAAAAAAAAAAAAACGCTAAGTATATGGTGGACTTTATCACAGTTATATTATTATAATAAATGGACCAGGGTATGCTTCAAATAGCATGCAAAAAGTGAACAACCTGATTTTATAAAGGATATATCAGTGCACTTAAAAAAAGATGTCCACAAATCTGGTTTTGTTAGTAAACTTTACGGAAGTATCATCGGGTGATCTCGTCTGTAAAGAAGTCTGTAAAGAAGTCTGTAAAGACGAGATCACCCGTGGGTTTCCGACGATGGGAAGTAATGAGTTAACCGATTTTCTGAGTATGAATACACTTTTATTTTCAAGAAGATGTTTGCTTTCTTTTATACAAAATTTAAAATAAAAAAGGAGTGATACCATGAAAATAAATTCAGATCGATTATAAAACTAAAAGGTATAATTTGAAATGCAATGATCTGTAAATATTGAATATTTCAAATATAAGTAAATTATTTAACTGTCACGGTGATCATTGTATTTTATATGTAGGGAGAGGACTTACTGATAAGGATATACAAAGTGTTAAAATAACATCAATTTATGAATTAATTAACATAATATATTAAATCCGCTACCGCATACTGTTCAAAACTAATTATATAGGAAACATTTTAGGTACGACTGTCTAATAATAGCGTGACGTCATATACCGGAAATGCCTTATTAGGCTGGGTTACATATAAAAAAAAATTGCAAACTGAAATAGTGAAGTGATCTTTTAATCTAATACATGTAAGAATTTGCTAGGAAAGGTAAGAATGATATTACTGAAAAATAGATTTTCTTCATTGGGCGATCTTATTTTGTTATGTGCATTGTTTTTTTTTTATTTCGGTATGACATACTGGCAATCCCAAAGAATGATTCCTTTCTTTCGGTTTTGTTTATGAGTCAGAAAACAGGTATCGTAAATAGTAATCACTTAATGTGTTAATAAGATCTATTTCTATATCAGTTTTGGATCATACTATTATTTTTTCTTGTTCTAAACAACGACTTTGATTCAGTCAATGTAAGTTTATACATATAAACAAAAGCATGTGTTTTAGCCAAATGTGTATTTTGTTTCCATTTTTCTGCTTTAAAGGAAAGCCTTACTTTGTATTCATATCCTTTTCTTAAACAACACAAATTAAATTTATTTATAAATACAACTATTCATATATACTTTCAGATTATAAGGAAAAAAATGTCACCATCTCCTTCTTCTGTTTGTCTTTCAACAATTCTCTGTGCCATAATTTTCATCGGAAAATCAACAGCACAAGATCTGCGTAAGTTTTTGTATTGTTTCTCTGTTATTATGTTTAACTCTTGAAACTAATATTACTGATTCTTCTACAGTTATTACCTGTAGTGAAATGTTCTAGACGTTTGGTCATCATGGTCATATCCTTGCTTGTTCAATATCAAGTGTAAACAAACAAAATGGAATCCTGCTTCAAAGCAGAGTTAAAAGAATGGATTTAGAGTTTATCAACATAAAAGAATGGAGGTAAAGTGAGGAACTAAGGATAGAATATATATAGAAAACACCAGTTTAAAATAAATGTCACATTCTGTTGGGGAGAGTTTTGGACTTTGGGTTGTTCAGATTCAAAATTTTCGGAGATTCTAAAATCTTATGATTTATTGTGAAGATAATTCATGTAAATATATAGGGAATAATTTTTTTTCCCACTAGCAAAGCATGACCGCCATGGTCAATTGTCACGTAATCGGAGTTAAAAGTGTCAAAGTGCCGAAAAAAAGGGTCAACAGTTTATCATTAACATTGAGTGGAGGTCTTGAAGCTTTTTTGTGTAAGTATCTGCTTATTTGGAACTTGTGGTAAACTACTGTGCACCACTGTGTATACAATGTCCAATCGTGAGTTGAAATCACAGAAAAGAAAGCCGGACTCTAAGTCTAAGGGAACTGAGAAAATGCCGTTCCCCTCCACTAACTTTGGAACTTTAACCCCATTTAGTGTACCGTTTGCTCCTTGCCCTGAGCAAATAGCGGTCGACCCTTTTAAAACTTTAGCAAGTCTATCACAAGCCGTGGGGGATATTAAGGCTGATCTATGGGAACAGGACGGGTTTGAAGACAAGATACAATTCATTGCACAACAGCAGGAAGACAATATAACAGAGATAGACAGTCTAAAATCTGAAAATGCATCCCTACGCAAGGATCTTGAAATGTTAAAATCGGTTGTAATCAGACTTGATAGAAAAGTCACAGAACAAGAGAAGGAAATTATTGATTTGAAAGGGCGATCCATGAAAAACAATATCCTTATACATAACCTGGAAGAAGAAGAAGGCGAAGATCTATTCAGCAAAATCCCCCGCCTGCTAAATGAACACCTAGATATAGACGGAATAGAGTTCGTTAATATCCATAGGAATGCGGGGGACAGAAGGCAAGGAGATAAGCCCCGAGTTATAACAGGCCGGTTAGTGAGATTTGAGAACAAAGACCGTTTACTAAAACAACAGAGAAAAAAGAAAGATGAAGGGATTACTCTACCATTCTATATCACCCCCCAGTCACCAGTTCAAGTTAACGAAACTCGCAGAAAACTGGTTGAACTCAACAGCAAATATTGGAGTGAAAATATCAAAACGAGAGTTGTGGGGGACAAATTGGTTTTCCCGAATGGGTCTGTTTACAGAGATAAAGTGAAGACACCAAACGCCGAGGAAATTCTACAACTTGACCAGAAAGAACAACAGAAACTAGAGGAAATTGAAGTTAAACGCTCTAACACTCACACAGAATCAGGAAACCAAATTAGCGCTGCTGCAGTTGAGGTAGAGACATATGCAAAAGTTCGGAACTTCTACAGGAAAATTTCCATGGATCCAGTTTATGGGCGTGCAAATCACAATATACTGGTATACCGTTTTAAAGACAATTCTGGGACTATACATGACGGATACTGTGACGACGGCGAATTTGGAGCTGGAAGGAAAATGCTAAAAATTCTACAAGATGAAAACTTTACAAATGTATCAGTTGTGATATCGCGCATGATGGGAAAACATCTTGGTCCGAAACGCTTCGACATAATGGAGAAAGCGTTATTTGACGCCCTCAAAGAACTTAGATAGGCTAAAAGAGTGTCCTGCAACGCGATTTTTCTTTTCTTGAACATTTTGTGGTATAAATAGTTTTTTGCTTTTTTCTTTTTCCCGGATTGAATAGCTCTGTTCTGAACAGGTTTCTTTTTTATAGTATATATTCCGGAAAAAAGAAGTTTATGTTCGTTTTTGATTTTTTATTTACCGACCAAAGAAGTATGTCCGGTATTACATCGGCACAGAATTTGAGGTAAACAAAATAAAAATGAACACTCCGACTATTGATCTATTAAACTCTTTCAACTATGCATTTGTAATTTATGCAAAGAGTTTGTTTCGTACATGTACATACCCTTTTCTTTTGTTTATATATTCTTTTTTCAGTTTTGTTTACATTTTTGAGTGAGTGCGAAAGTGTGTCTGTGAGAAAATACAACTGTCATGTAGTCGAAAATTTTGCTTGGAGGTTGCTTACATTTTACAAATCAGTTTTTGTTGATGAACGATAATATAAAAATCGTAACGGTGAACTGTCAAGGTCTAGCGACAATTCAAAAACGACAAGATGTCCTTAACTATTATAGAAAAAAGGGTTACTCTATTTTGTGTCTGCAGGATACACATTTTACATATGAAACAGAACCATTTGTAGAAGCTCAGTGGGGTTACAAGTGCTATTTTAGTTCATATAAATCGAATTCACGGGGAGTAAGTATTCTTTTTAACAATAATTTTGAATTTAAAGTCCACAAAGATAAGAGAGATAAGGAAGGGAATTTAGTAGCTCTTGATATTACCATTGAAGACAATAGGTTTACCCTGGTAAATGTATATGGACCGAATACTGACTGTCCAGAATTTTATGAAAAGGTTAGAGATATTTTTCTAGAATTTGATAATGAATATTTTGTACTATGCGGTGACTTAAATCTTGCTCTTAATCCAGAAATAGATACATACAACTATGTTAATGTAAATAATCCAATGGCTCGTGAAAAATTGATAGAAATTATGGAAGATTTACAAATGATTGATTATTACAGGATTTTGAATCCAGAAAAAAAAATGTTCACATGGAGGAAAAAAAACCCTGTCAAACAAGGCAGATTAGACTATATTTTAATATCTGAAGGATTATCTAATCTTGTTGAAGAATTTACTGTTAAACCGGGGTACAGATCTGATCATTCTATTGTTGTTCTAGAATTAAAATTCAATCCCTTCAATAAAGGTCGTGGCCTATGGAAGTTTAATAATAGTTTACTGAATGACGCAGTGTATGTCGAAAAAGTGAAGCAAACTATACAAAAAGTCAGATGTCAATATTTACAAAATATAAATGATATTGAAAATAATGCTATTTTTGTTGAAAATATGGATGACTCTATATTTCTTGAAATTCTTCTTATGGAAATACGAGGAATATCTATTTCATATTCTTCATTTAAGAAAAGAGAGAGAGAAAAGTCAGAGAAATCCCTCGTAGAGGAAATAGAGAGATTAGAAACAAGTACTGAAAATAATACAGATATTTTGGAAGAAAAAAAAGAAACCCTTGAAAATTTAAGAAAAGTTAAAATGCAAGGCCATTTAATTAGATCCCGTGCTAGATGGGTAGAAGAGGGTGAAAAGCCAACAAAATATTTTTGTAATTTAGAATCAAGAAACTATGTTAACAAAATTATTAAAAGGGTTGAGATTGACGAACAATACACTGTTTATGATCAATTTGAAATTTTAAACCAAGTTAAATCTTTTTATGAAGAACTGTATTCAAATAAAGATTCAGAATGTATTGACATGGATCTGAATGATATTATTGACCCAGCGGAAGTTAAAAAACTTGACGAGATGACTTCTAATAGTCTTGAGAAAGATATTGAAGAAAGTGAAATTTTAGATGTTCTTAAGAATATGAAAAATAACAAGTCTCCAGGGAGTGATGGTTTTACAGCTGAATTTTTCAAATTTTTCTGGACAGATTTGAAAAGTTATATTTTAAATGCAATTAACTGTATTTTTTCAAAGAAAGAACTTCCAATTTCTCAGAGACTTGGGATTATTTCCTGTATACCCAAAGGTGATAAACCAAGACAGTTCTTAAAAAATTGGCGCCCAATTACTTTACTAAATGTCCTTTATAAACTTATATCTGGATGTTTAAGTTATAGAATAAAGTCCACTCTAGAATATCTTATTTCTGATACACAAACAGGTTTCATTAAAGGTAGATTTATAGGGGAAAATACAAGATTTATTTATGACTTAATGTCTTATACAGAGTCAAATAATATTCCTGGTCTGTTGATGCTATTAGACTTTGAGAAAGCACTTGACTCAATTTCATGGACCTTTCTTTATAAAGTTTTGAAGTATTTTGGTTTTGGAAACAACATTATTGAATGGATTAAAATCCTAAATACTAATTTTAAAGCTTCAGTTTTACAATGTGGTTTTTTATCAGAACAATTTTTTATTCAGAGGGGTTGTAGACAAGGAGATCCTGTTGCTCCCTACTTGTTCCTCCTTTGTGCTGAAATCCTGGCTATTCTCATTAAACAAAACAGAGATATAAAAGGTATAATAGTAAAAGAAAAAGAACACAAAATCTCTCAATATGCAGATGATACCTCGCTTGCCCTTGACGGTTCACCAAAATCTTTGTTTGCTGCTCTTGATACATTGGATTTATTTTCACAATTATCTGGTTTAAAGATAAATAGTTCGAAGACAAAAATTATTTGGATTGGCTCGAAAAAATTTTCAAGTCAAGTTTTTCATCATACAAGATGGAAACTAGATTGGGGATCCACAACTTTTACTTTGCTTGGTATAACTTTTTCTGTAGAGCTAGAAAATATTACTGACATAAATTACAAACTTGTTTTACCAAAAATTAAATCAATGATCCAACAATGGAAAAGGCGAATACTTACACCAATCGGTCGTGTCACCATTGTTAAAACACTGATTCTACCAAAACTCACTCATTTATTTATTTCTCTTCCTACCCCTAGCTATGACATAATATCTTCATTATGTAAGGACCTTTTTGAATTTATATATGGAAATCAAAAAGTGATAGAGTTAAAAGAGATATAGTTACTCAAGATTATTTATCTGGAGGATTAAAAATGTTAAATGTTGATTACTTCATAAAATCACTGAAATGTACATGGGTCAAAAGATTGGTATCAGAAAGTAGTAAGCCATGGCTGGACATATTTTTAGGAATTAATGGTAGAGATGTTGTAAACAAATTTATGGATTTTGGTGATGCATATATTTTAAATAGTTTAATACCTCAAAATAATATTTTCTGGTTTGATGTTTTTAGTTCATGGCAGCATGTTTTGAAGAATGTAGATCAGGATGTAGAAATGAAATGCAAGGCTTGCAATATTCCTGTATGGTATAATTCAAATATTAAGGTAGAAAATAAAAGTATTTTTATAGAAAATTGGTATAAAAGTGGAGTTAAAAATATTGGGGATTTTTTGTCAGAAGATTGCAATTTTTTATCAAAATCCGCCTTCCAAGAAAAATTCAGCATTTCCAATGTATGCGTAATGCAGTATAATAGTACTATTTCTGCTATTTCTAAATTTTTAAAGAATATGTCAATAGATCGAATGAACTTGAGAAAACATTGTCAGCCTAATTTACCATTTTATTTTGAAAATATTTTTCATTATGAAAAATGTACAAAGAGAATTTACAACTATATAAACAAAAATGATATAATTCCTACAGCAATTCCAAAGTGGAATCAAGACTTATCTCCCTTTGGAGTGACAGATATATGTATAAAAGATGTTTTTAAAGTTTGCTTTAAGACTACTTCTGATTCTTCTGTACAGTGGTTACAATATAGAATTTTACATAGGATCCTCCCTGTAGATTCTTATCTTAAGAAAATCAATATAAAAACTACTGATGTTTGTAAATTTTGTGCCCAAGAAACTGAAACTGTACTGCATGTATTTGTTCATTGTGACCATATTATATCTTTATGGAGGAACTTGAGTTTACATATATACAGAACAATTTCAAAAAGAATTGCATTTAATGTTAAAAATATTATCTTAGGTGAATTACCACTTATAAATGATAATAGAATTGAAAATTTTATGATATTGTACACAAAACAATATATTTTTTCATGTTTATTGCAATCAAAAATACCTTCACTCTTTGGTTTACTAAGCTATTTGAAAATGAAATACAATATTGAAAGATGCATATCTATTAACAATTCAAATCTAAATTATTTTGAAGAACAATGGATTTTATGGAAAAATATATTTGAACAAATGTAAGATTACACCTGTATATGTTAGATGTTTGCTTAAATTATTTTGCATGATAGAGACAACTGATTATTATAAAGCAACCTTCATATTAATTTAAAATGTAAATGAATGTATGAATGGGTGTGTGAGTGTTAAATATCCATTGTAATTTGCTGTTATTTTAATTTGAATCTATATGTAATACAATGGATAATAATAAAATAATTTAAAAAAAAAAAAAAAAAAAAAAAAAAAAAAAAAAAAAAAAAAAATATATAGGGAATAAACATCATGCTCATTTCTTACAATTAAATGTAAATTATCTAATTGGTGTGAAACATCACTTTGTATTTTAGTTTTCATAAAATAACAAACTAAAGCACAGTGAAACTTGTCTTGTATTTAGAAGCTGTCCTTGGATACGATAGATTTTGGTCCTACTTTTGACTGTTGATTTTCATTGGTGGAATTACAGAGGGCAGCCCCATCCCCCATTTTGTGTCCAAAATATACATTACTAAGATTTTTATTAGGCCATAATAAATATATTCCTAGATTCTCATCCCCACCCACCCCAATTTTTTACTCCCGCCTCAATTTTTTTTATTTCTGTTTTTCTTCATCTTATTTCTGATCGGGATCTGTATTCAACTACCATTCAACTTTCGTTTTAAATCCCTTGAATGTCGGCATGATTCTGACAGCTGAAAAGATGGTAATTGCTATAAGATATGTTAAACTAGGGTAATGGGTTCTGAAAGATTGGTGATGATGTGTAGTAAGAGATAAACGGACCTCTACCATGACTTTTATTCAACTATTATAGATAAATATGCACCGAATGAACAGGTGAATAAAAATTCTGTAAAATGGAAAAAAATATAGAATAAAAGCCGCCCGCCTCGATTTCTCAAAAAATTCAGATGAGAATCTAGGAATTTTTTTATTATGGTCTTCATAAATCTTTTTTTTATTGTGTCTGTGGGCCCCTACCCCGACCCTAATCTGGTCCTTCCTTTTTTTTTCAAGATTCCTGGATCTGCCACTGATTTGATGAATTCTACACAAGTCCTTTAAAGCTTTTATTCTGCTTTAATTGCAGTAATGACTCATATGCTGGTTTATGTTTTAAACCTAAAACTTTGAACGACTTAATTTTACATTCTTTTTTCAACATTTCTGACATCATTGATTACATGTATAATTTCTTTGTATGGAAGTCGTTGATTCACGGATTACATTTAAATGGAGTTGTGTGTTTTTACATGTTTAGTTCATAACTACATTCTGGTGGTTTTATCAAATACAAGGGAAACTGAAACCACAAACTTAGCATGTACTTGTCTAACATATCTGCTGACACTGCAATCTTGAAATCTGAACTTTTAAGGATAAATCATTAAATAACACAAGTAGGACTGGGAAAAATACTACATGTAGCTGTAAAAAAAGAATAATGACAGCTAAGATTTCTTTGATGGATGTAAATGTATACATATTTACCTAAAACATGCATGATTCAACAGAAAAACTGATAAGCATGCATTGAACATACATGTATGCTTGAAATAATGTAATGCATCCATTATTTGCACCCAGTATGCACTATATTGTTAAAGGGTGCAGATGATGAGCAAATAAAATTCAAGTCCAGGAATGTTTGACATCTCGACTACTACTATTAAGTATTGCATTAATATGGACAGTGTAAAATTGTTTTTAAAAGGCTCTGGTTTAACTTTTCAATCTGGAGAGAAACATTTTGTGTTTTGAATTCTACACGTTAAAGTGCATAAGTATACATACATATGATATTTTGGTTAGGTATACACAACTGTATTGGATATTGTGTGCATGTATAGTTCATCTTCTTCCACAAAGGATTTAGATACAATATCCATGATATGTAAATATATTGCTGTAGATTTCTTTTTTTATTTTAATTTCCTCTCTGACAGGTTTGGACACTTTCCCCCTGATTTTCTAAGTGCTTTTATAAGCTTTTAAGCACAATTTATATTATAATTAAGATATGTATAGTTTGAATATTGTCCAATAAGGCTTTCAAGATATCTGAATGTTTGCTACATGTTTCTTTTATTCCTCTGTTACCATGGTTACAGGCACTGAAACTTTGACCCCCACTCAGGAAAACCCTTGTTTGAAGGAGCAGACAACCACTTGTGGTGAATGCATTGCCATCTCTACCCTGTGTGCATTCTGTACAGACCCAGTATGTTATAGATGCTATTCAAGATTTTTATCAGTCTGAAATTGAGAATCAATATTTTAATAGTTACTGTCTTTATCCATTTTTCAATGTTTCAAATTTGTAGCATATTAAAGCCTAGTTTACAAATGCGCAAACCCTTTTGACTTTATAAACATGATAAAAGTCAAAGAAAATGTTATGGTTTAATTACTCTAGAAGTACTTTTTTCCGTGTGGTATTAATTTATGCTATGTACGCAGTCACAAATATTCCGCAAAAATTTGTCCAAGCGAATTTAATATAAATGTAAGGCATTTAGTGACAATCTAAGAAATCCGCATTATTTTCTACCCGCGGATTGAACAGAAATTAAGATTCTGCGGAATTATGACCCCATGGAAAAAAGTATGTCTGCAGTATCCCCAATATATGTCAATAAATAAATTTAGAGGGGCTTTCTTGAAGTTGTGAAAGATACATAGCTCATTCCTCTTACTGTGTCATTTTTATTTATCAAGAATACAAACAGAAGCATATTCACATCAGTAAAGAAGTGAATGCATGAGTATAACTTTGATTTAATTTCTTGTGTAGGAGTATGATACCAATAATTATCCCAGGTGTGACCTTTTGACCACACACCAGAAGCAGGTGAATAATCAGCCCAGGTGTAAAAACATCGTTAATCCATCCTCCGTCCTAACAAAGACAAAGGTGGGTGATCTGTCACAATTTGTTTACAAACTATAGTTACTGTAGTATACACAAGATTTAATCAACTGAAACTTTTAAGCATAGATTGACTATTTATTATATTGATTATAGGTAAATACAAAATCTTCTTATAATATCATGTTTATTTCTTTACTTTAAAGGGAACAAAATTTTTCTGGGAAAAAAGTAAAATTTTAGAATAAGAAATATGAGGTTGTTCTTTATTATTATTGAAAATTTAATTTAACATTTATTTATTTAAAAACTGCAATATCTCTTACAAAATCTTCCTTTTTACTTCTGGACATGAACATGATGAAGGAAAAAATTATGTTCCAGGAAAAAAAGTTTATTTTACATGTTTTAAGACCCAGAAGTATTTTGTCAATTTGAATCAATTTTCAGAAATTAATTTTTTAAGTATATTTATATGCTTTACACAGCATTTACAGTCCTTAATGATCTGTTTTACAGGATGATAGATTGGTGGACGGAGACACAAACAGATATGCAGTACAGATCAGACCCCAGAAAATCGATCTAGAGTTAAGACCAAGTAAGTTATTTAGTAGAAACCTATTGAATGAGTCATCATGACTGTTTACAGAGACTTAACTTCAATCTATTAAGATATTTTTTTGAATTTTTTTTAAAAGGAATTTTGTGTAAATATCAATAAAGAATTAAAATATTTTCCAGGTACAATTCTTGTTTGATATTTTAAGTTTGTGATAATAAACATGTACGTATAGTAAAATGCATAAAATAAATGGGGTGATAACTGAGAGAAATTGGGGGGGGGGTTAAATGAGGTGGTTTTAAAAACTATGTTTTACATGTTAAAGTGAAAAGGTTTTAAAAAGAATTGTTTAATTTTTATAAAAATGAAGGGTCATCCCTCAGAATTGAAATAGCAAGGGGGTCTCTGGTTCTTAAAATAATAGGGGATTAAGAATAACCAGGGTATTACATCATAATTTGGTAGAGAAATTCCCCAGGCCCTGGGTCTTAGGGACAACCCAATAAAGGAAAGACGAAGAAATCAAACCATACTTAAAGCAATCTTACATATTTTCAGATGACCCCCAGACTTTTGACCTGACATTCAAACTGGCAGAGAATTACCCTGTGGATCTCTACTACCTCATGGACTTGTCCAATTCCATGGCTGACGATAAAGAGAAGCTGGCCAGTTTAGGAATCAAAATCGGTTTGTTTTTGTTTCATGTTATTAAACAGGTACAAAGATGTAAAGGGATGTAAACTTGTTACCATAGACAGGCTTATTTACATCCTCTGCTATTTTCTCCTGTTCAGACTTGTGACAAACTTTTGTCTAGTATTCAGTTTGCCTGAGAAATTATTCTGTGTTCTTTGAATTTGCCCACTACAAAAAAGGTAAAAAAAAAAAGAACAGGTGCAAAACTTTCCTTGTATGCGGAATGTAGATTTCATACTCAAGTCATTTTTGAGAAGAATTAATTTTGCATGCATTATATATGTTAAAGCATTGCTTTGAAAAAGAACAAAATTCTATTGATAATTCTGATATAATGGTGAATCATATTTGCATTGTGAAAGCGTATTCATCAAGGTGTTTTGATGAAATTTGAGTCCTTTTAAATAACTTATATAAATCCAAAGATATTGTACCATTTGATCATTGATGATTTATGGTGTTAATTCCTTCTAAAATAATTTTAACAGCTGAGGACATGAGTCAAATCACTAAGAATTTTAAGCTAGGTTTTGGCTCCTTTGTTGACAAAGTGGTGATGCCCTACGTCAGCACAGCCCCAAACAAGTAAGTGTTAAATTAGTTAATTTAATTAATTAATTGACAGCTGCGAGCCTAGGTTAATATTCCTATGCTTTCTATCTATAATTCGGACCAAGTATCTTGAATCCTAGCATGCTGGGGAAGGGATCAGTAATGATTGTACTGGACTTGTTAAACATGCTCATGAAAAGTGAAAATTTGAATACAGTAAATGTTAAAGAATCAATATATAGCTTGAAAAGAACAGGTTTGACTTTCTGATATGTGAGATATGTTTATGCCATATGTAGAAGCACACAATGTTGATTTCTGCATGGACAAAATTGTTTGCTTGAAGTTTATGAACATAACATTTGCATCTAATTTATAATTTACAATTGCTTGTGTTGTCTAAGTAATTTTTTTTCTTTACTAGATACAATTTCTCTGTGTTTTAAGACATAGCATGAAATATTTTTAAACTGAACTTGTTTTTCAGCTAACTAGCAGAGAATATATATATCAAAGATGATTGTGGGTCAGATTTAGGGTCAAGCTTAGATTGGTTAGAAGATGAAATGTTTAATTTAACATGATTTGATATAAACATATTCTTTTTAAACATGTTGAAAGGTATTTAAACATTTTTTTTGGGGGGGGGGAGTGGTAGTGGACTAAATAGATTTTTTTCAGGGGATAAGAAATTACACTGCAAACTTTAAATAAAACTTTTAAAAAGAATAGAATTTATTTTAAAGAAATGAACTGAAATATTGCTTTGGAAAAATGAAAATGGAACAGGTAAGAATTTCGAAGCCCCTCCTTCATGTGCTTCTGGAAAAAAAGTTTAATTTGTGGAGAGATTTTAATGTAACATGTAATAGATTGGTCAAAGAAAATCTTTTTTTATTTAAAACCTTGAAGTCTGCATAAGAAATGTATTATTTAATTTAATGTTACTTCAAGAGCATACAAGTCAAAGGTTAAAGTCATAGTTCAAAGTCAAAGGTTAAAGGTTGTTTTATTGTGACACATGATTGCACTAAGTTATAATGATGTAGACTGTATTTTGTTTGTTGACACCTCCACTTTGTTGTTTACACCAGGACTGCCAATGACGGATCGTAAGTGGATAATCCACATCTATTAATCCTTCTCCACCTTCACCCTGGCTTTTTTTTGTGACAAAATAAAATAAGGGGTTGTCTCAAAAGTTTCAATATGATCTTATTTTCTCAGACTTCTTTTATGACAATTAAAAATGAAATAAAGGGTTGTCTCGAAAGTTCCAATATGATTTTTTTTCTCTCAGGTATTCTGATTTAAGAACAAAAATAGATAAATATGATGAAAAAATGAAATGATGGCAAGACACAGTTGTTTTTCACCTTTTCACTGTAACATAAATGTTTACATCATCAAAGAGTATAGTATTTTACATGTACTAACAGATTTCACCAGTGTTTGAGAATCTTATAATAAGTGTGTTAAGTGTATAACTTCGTCAACACAGTGTATTTTTTCAAAACAAATACGTTCAAATTTAAAAACAGTTGTGTGAAATTTGTCATCCCATATATAGTGAAAGCAAGTAGTTTGAGACAAGCTTTATTCAAAAGAACATGCATTTATCTATCAGATTTGATAAAAAGCGATTTAATTTTTGCCCTGCCATTCCTGCTTAAAAACAAGTGATGGAAACCATAAAGATGAGAAAAAGTGTAGAGAATTTGTCAATTTCTTACAGCACTACTTTCTAGAACACATGGTTGACTTGTAACCAATTTATGTAGTTTGGAGTGGATGTTTTTCTTTATTCTTTGAGGTTTTGGCCTGTTGAAGGTTTTTGGGAGATATGGTGATTTAAAAACTTTGTTTGATTTATTCTGTATATATTTTAGGTGAATTTTTACTTGCTTAGGATAATACAATGTAATAACCGAGTCACGAGATATTCAAATACAGTACTGTTAAACCTTAATATCTCAATCACCTAATATATTTTATATATCATGGATATACTGTAAACCAACTTTTATTCGCGTGCTAAAAATTTTCACGAGGATCGCGAGAGCCTCGTCATTGCAAATGTTTCTCACCACGAACCAATCCTTAAAGTATCTCTTTCTATTAACAACAGATTCAAAATGGCATGATCACGAAAATTAATCCTCGCGAACATGTTAACCCCCAAGTAAATTGTGAAATGAAGTTGTCGCGAATAAAAGTTGGTTTACAATATCAAAGTGAGTGATTGGGACTTTGATTTGGAAGTCCCAAAACCTTATTCGTTAAGCATTGAAGCCTTGATCATGTTGATGTCTAGATCTTTTGAAAACTGAATTTCTCCAGGTCACATTAACTTTGAGATAAAGAGATTTGACTGTATATTCTTAAATTTTCATGCTATTTGATTTTTTTGAGGAGGGGGGGGGGGGGGGGGAACGGGCTTGTTTAAGTAAAATGTGTTTTTCATTTCTTCTTGACTAATGTACAGAATACAAAAGATCCAATACAAATATTACTCAAATTAATAAATTCCATGTTAGCAGATAAATTTATGCAAGTTAAGCTATATTTAGACCATAAATAAATATAAAAAATCTTACTCGTCGAAAGTTTAAAAAAAAAAAATCAATTTTCATTATATGAAACTAGGAAGTGATGATGTGTATAATAATAGTTTGCAGTTGTTTACTAACAAACATACAAATATGTATACCATAAACATACTTTTTAATGGTGGATAGTAATTTCTTGGAATGACAATTTCTGTTCAATCCGTTTGTAAACTTTTCAACAGATTTCTTCAATTGTCATTTGCTGTCCTCTAATGGACTCTATAGTTATGTTGTAACGAAATTCCCCAGTAAGTTTTGACCACATTCAGATTAAGTCAAAGCTTTAAAAAAGTATGTCACTGGTATATTTATACATGAACATTTTGACACTATATTCACAGGTGATTTTCAATGTACTGTATAGCATCTTCATCAATATAATTAAAATAACAGGACTGCATGTTTGCTCTATTACGAAATAATTTGATCAGAAATTACAAAATAAATATCGGAGATCTTAATTAAGGCTTTTGTCACCATTGCATGTGAAAACTTGAATTGGGAAGCATGTGTGAACTACGATTATTTCTATTACTCTTGGCATGTTTTGTGCTTAAAAGTAATTCAGGGTAAAAGGAGTTTACATATTTTGTTCAGTTAATTTTCACTTCAAAAATGTTTTCTTTTTCAGAATTAACAGCCCTTGTGCAGGCTGTGAGAAAGCATATGGTTTTAGAAATGTTCATCCACTCAACCCCAATGCTACACTGTTTAGGGTATGTTTATGTAAATTCAACACTTTCTTGTAAAGTAGGGTTTCTCTTTAGCCATCTATTTCGATGTAATTGCATGAAATGCTTCAAACTTCAGCAGGTATGAATTATATTGACACAGGATTTGGGGGAAAAAAATATCAAAAATGACAATTAAGAGATAAAAAAAATTTATGAAATTAAAAGTCAATATATTATATTTTCTAAGAGATTCTGATGGTTGGAATCATGAAGATCGTGTACCTTTGACAAATGACTCTGATCTCCTATTTTCTGTTTTAGGACAAGGTGAATGCTGCTAGAGTGTCGGGGAATCTGGATGCCCCAGAAGGAGGCTTTGATGCCATTATGCAGGCCGTGGCTTGTGAGGTAACATAGAATCCACTTATTGTGATACCTGTTTAATATTATAACTTACTTAATATAATAATTTTTATTGTTGAAATACATGGGTAGAGAGATATAGTACATCTGTTTTATTTGATCCACAGAGTCAGATTGGTTGGAGAAATCGCTCCAGAAGAATGCTGTTGTTTTCTACTGATGCAGGATTCCACTATGCTGGTGATGGCAAGGTACATTTAGTAGTTTAACCCTCCTCTCCTACTGAAAACAAGTTATAGAGGAAGAGTAAATATGATTCATTTTTCCCAATAGGTTTCTATTACAACAATCACTTTGGCTTGGAATATTTAATTTTACTAAGAAGTACAATAATCATTATGAGATTTAGATGATAACTGACATTTCACTTCTAAAGTAGATGGCAATAGTGTTGAGCTCTAAGCAGCTAAAGTGTTAATGAATTTATGCTTGTTTATTTAAGGTGTACATTTAACAAATAATCATTTTGTGAAGTAATAAAAAGAATTGTATCATTTGAAAAAAAAAATAAATGAAAGAGAAATGAAACACCTGAATAGGAATTATAGGAGTTATTAACTATGTTGGCTTCATTGTTTGTAGCTGGGAGGGATTGTGAAACCCAATGATGGCCTCTGTCATCTTAGTCTGGATGGAATGTACACCGAAAGCTCCAATCAGGTACTAATTGTTTTGTTCATTTAAGCTTACAAGGATAAAAAATATTTATTATGTTTCATATAGGGTACCCAATGTTGATTGCAGAAAATTTGGAATATTCATATATTCTGGAATATTCATATATTCTGTTTTGGTGAAACAGTGCATGCTTTATACTTCTTTCATCTGATATTGTAGAAAGTGAAGGATACATTAGAAATCATGTTAACTTCCACTGAGTGGATAGATTATGTGGTCTTGTAATCTTGCAATGTATGATTCTAACTTTACAATCATACCAATATTAAGAAGTATATAAAAGAAAAGAATTTTCACAGAATCAGGCACTATTGTTAATTTAATAAAACTTTTAAATTTTATTCAGGATTACCCCTCCATCAGCCAGGTAGCTGTCAAGGCAAAGGAGAAGAATGTCAACATCATCTTTGCTGTCACCCAAGATCAGAAACCAATTTATGATCAGCTAAAGCCTATCATTGCTGGCTCCGAAACCGGAATCTTGGCCTCTGATTCTCAAAACATTGTAAAACTGGTCCGAGATAACTACTTGGTAAGGGGAATAACTTATACTTATGTTTTAAAGAACATGGAATTTTTTACATGAATATTTGTAAAACAGGTTGAAGATAACTATTTGGTAAGGGAAATAACTGATGCTAGTGTTTTGAAGAACTTGGGACTTTTATATGAATGTCTGTGGTGACAGGGATTATTTAATTTGCAAAGTTATGTTTATTTTTTATGACTATTTATCATTATCAGTGATTGGAGGATGTATTATAGTGTCTCCAAAATGTTTTTGACAACATTGAAGATAAGATTATCTTGGGTTTGCACCAAATGCACTAAGATGTGACTTTGTATAATGTTGCATGTTTTCTACCTGTTTTATAGGCAATCACCTCAAAAGTCGAACTTATTGTGGAAAATTCTGATAATGTGGATGTAAAATTCAAAACAAAGTGTTTAGGGTAAGTAATAATTAATTATTAATTAAATCTAATACATTAAGAATGATCATCACTGTAAGATTAATTGCTAGAATGAGTCTTGAAAATCGATCAAAACATGTAACATTGTATTATGTATATTATCAATTACAGAACTGAGATGAAAGATACTAACAAGTGTGAGAATCTTCAAATTGGACAGTCCGTGAGTACTCAAGTTTTTAACAGTCAAGGATTTGAGCTTATAATGATGTCATATATTTATCAACTCACTAGTTTTAATTTTTCTGAATTAGTTGCTTACCATTTATTTATTTAAAGGTTAACTTCAGTGTGACCTTGGAAGTGAAATCCTGTCCACCTAAAGGTCAGGAGGAGAAAGTCCTGAAGATCAAACCAGTGGGGCTGTACGACACGTTGACCGTTAATCTGACATTTAAGTGCAAGTGTGATTGTGAATCTGAGGCTATAATGGTAAGTCTGTGGAAGAGTCACCCCTCTTACTACCCCCACCCCACCCCATCCATCCCATCCCCGCCCCCAAAAAATGCATTTAATATCAAGAATTTTATTTGTTATATCTTGATAGGAGTGCAAACTGTAATGGCAAAGGAATTATTTTTGTTCTTGGTACATTTTTTAAGAATTTTCACTTGAATTTTTTTATAGGAAGCCAACAAAAATCCAAAAGAATTATTTTTTGTGCTTGATGCATTTAGTAAAGATTTTCAAAGATATGTTATAAGTAAAGTAAGATAGGTAAAGATAAGTAAAGATATGTTGTATCTTGATAGGAAGACTACAAAAATTACCCAAACTGTTATGGCAATGGAACGACTTTTGCTGTGGTTTATTAATTAAGAATTTTCACTTGAATTTCTCTATAGGAGGCCAACAAAAACCACCCTAATTGTAACGGCAATGGCACGTATGTGTGTGGGATGTGTGTCTGTAATGAGCCGTACTTTGGGGACAAGTGTGACTGCAACAAAGGAACAGGAACCATCGCAGACAAAGAGAAGGAATGCATCCAGTAAGTTTGTCAACATATAAGATTGGGTATCATGTCTTACAGTCTTCTGGGGTTGACTGTAGGTTTTGAGCACTGAGGATAGATTACATTTGATAGCACCTTAAGCATTTGAGATAGAAAAAGTGAAGATAATGAACAGCGATCAATCTCAAAATATCTAGAAAAACAACACATCTCTGTGAAGAGGACATTAAACATAGAACCCTGGAAATTTCAGAGGTGGGATCGGGTGCCTTTGAGGAGTAAGCATTCCCTGTTCGCCTGTTGAAAATTTCCTAGACACAAGAATATGACTTTTGTACAGTTTATAGAATCAGGACTTCTTATTATGTTGAAATTTTTCTAGAGACAAGAATACTTTTTTACAGTCTAAGAATTTTAACTTCTAATTAATATGTTGAAATTTTTCTTGAGACAAGAATACTACTTTTTAGGTCACCTGAGTAACTCAGGTGACCTATTGCTATCCGTTTTCGTCCGTCGTCGTGCGTCGTGCGTCGTGTGTTAACATTTGAACATTTTCAGCTTCTTCTCTGAAACCACTGAACCAATTTCAACCAAATTTGGTATACAGCATCTATGGGTGAAGGGGAACAAAAATTGTGAATTTTATGGTCCCCGCCCCCCTGGGGCCTGAGGGGTGGGGCCAAAACCACTAAAATTTTGCAATCTTTAAAAATCTTCTTCTTTACTCCTGGACATCAAGCAGGCAAACTGTTGGCATGAATGTAATGAGCATTGAGTCCTCTACCAAAATTATGAAATTCACGGCCCCAGGGTCAGGGGTTCTAGTGCTAGGGCGGGGCTATATAGATTATATAGTGAAAATGCATGATTTCTTTGAAAATTATGCATTGAAGTAAACTAACTAAGTACATAGTTATGATGAGCAAGAGTGCCTCTTCCAAAATTGTGAATTTTGTGGCCCCAGGGTCAGGGGTTCTGGTGTTAGGGCGGGGCACTATTGGTTATATAGTGAAAATGCATTTATTCTTTGAAAATCTTCTCCTCTGATTCTGGGTATTAAATAAACTAACTAAGTTCATAGTTATGATGAGCAAGAGTGCCTCTTCCAAAATTGTGAATTTTGTGGCCCCAGAGTCAGGGGTTCTGGTGTTAGGGCGGGGCTATATAGATTATATAGTGAAAATGCATGATTTCTTTGAAAATCTTCTTCTCTGCTCCTGGGTATTAAGTAAACTAACTAAGTACATAGTTATGATGAGCAAGAGTGCCTCTTCCAAAATTGTGAATTTTGTGGCCCCAGGGTCAGGGGTTCTGGTGTTAGGATGGGGCACTATTGGTTATATAGTGAAAATGCATTTATTCTTTGAAAATCCTCTCCTCTGATTCTGTGTATTAAATAAACTAACTAAGTACATAGTTATGATGAGCAAGAGTGCCTGTTCCAAAATTGTGAATTTTGTGGCCCCAGTGTTATGGGTTCTGGTGTTAGGGCGGGGCACTATTGATTATATAGTGAAAATGCATTAATTCTTTGAAAATCTTCTCCTCTGATTCTGGGTATTAGATAAACTAACTAAGTACATAGTTATGATGAGCAAGAGTGCCTCTACCAAAATTGTGAATTTTGTGGCCCCAGGGTCAGGGGTTCTGGTGTTAGGGCGGGGCTCTATTGATCATATAGTGAAAATGCATTAATTCTTTGAAAATCTTCTTCTTTGCTCCTGGGTTTTATGCCAATGATCTAAGAATATATATTTATGATGAAGAAAGGTGCATCTAGCAAAATGGTTATTTTTTTATGCCCCCCCCCCCTTCCTGGGTTGGGGGGTGGGGTGGTGGTACATAGTCTGAAAATAAAATTAATGCTTTGAAATCTGCTCTTAGGTATTAATCAACCATTTTATAATAAAATTTGCAAAATTTTGAAATATGTGGCCCCAAGGTCAGGGGTTCCTTTGGGATGATGTGCACAACTAGTTATAAAGCAGAAGTGCATTTTCTCTATGTTACTCTGATCTACCTTTTGGTATTAAGTAAATAGAGTAAGCATGAGAAGTCTATAATTATGAT